GGCTCTTCCGCGGAGCCCCGCCCCCCGCCCATGGCCCGATGGTTCCGGCGCCCCGCCCCTCTCCCCTTAAAGGGGCCGCGGCGGGCGGGACAGGGCGCAAAGAAGGCTTGAGACGAGCTCGCAGCCCTCCGCGGGGGAGTCGGGACACGCTCGTTTTCAAAGGCATCAAGCTTGAAGAGAAGTAATCGAGAGAAGAAGCTAGTAAGTAAACGCCAAGAAAAGGGGCACAGGTTAGAGCTGCTAATGCACTGGTTGTACCTTTATTGTTTCACCTCGTTCACTAACAATTCAGTGGTGCAAGGTTACCATACACGGTTAGATAATGTCTGCATCGCACACCTAAGGCTATACAGCAAATGGATCAGAATTAGTACAAATACATGAACTATATTTACATTTTGTATACTGAAGCTCCAAACATCAGATATATTTACAAAATAAAATATGAAAATGAAAATCTGAAATTAATGTACAGTGTTGCTGATGCACTCCTTCGCTGGGATGAAGTCAGTTTGCAAAGAGATTTGTTCAAGAAGGCCACTTATACAGCGTATACCTTGTATAGCTTGTGTACAGAGAGGTTGAAGGGGGAAATGGGGACCACAACTTAAAAAAAAAAAAAAAAAAAAAAGAGTATGTAGTTCAGTGCAACAGCATGTCTACTGTCCAAAGTCAAGAACGTTAATCAACTGCACATGAAGTGTGAACAAGCAGAGTGGAAAATTAAGCACTGATCCTGGGAAGTGCCGATCATCCAAGACTCCCTCTGCTTCTAGTCCTTGGTTTCAATGCGAGCAAGAGGTAGTTCAGTACTGCTCAGGATCGGGCCACTAATTTGGCAACATACCCTCAGTTTTCTGAATACGCGGCTACTCGTGTTAATTTAAAAACTGTTCCGATTGACACTGGACACAACCATCCGGTTAGCGTTGGACTAGTGTTGATTTCAAATACTTAGAACGCATAAATGGCCTTCTGAACAAAATATCTCAATCCTGTTCTTCGAACGGCTGATGTTTTTAACAAGGAAGCAAAAAATTAAAAAAAAAAATTCCTGCTACATACAGTACAGTTCAGACCACATATTGGGGTCGTAAACCACAATGGAGAGATGCAACGCACATGTTAGAGACCCATTTTAAAATACATTCAGCACACCGTCCCAGAGCAGCATTAGTATCCTTCCTTTGAGCAGCACGTTAACTGCATCTTCAACAAAAAAAACACCACCACAATACAAACTAACACAAACTAAGGCTGTGTAAGAGTACCAGAAAGAGGCGTATGCATAGGCAGTATTAGTTGATTGCAGAGTACCAATGGGTCTTATTCCCAAGCTAATCCTCTTTCTAATGTGCGATTAATTACAGATGTATAAATATACAATACATTACATAAACTTAAATCCCTGTAAATTAGATAACAAGCAGCAAAAAGTAAAGTCTTTGCTTTGAAATACCTTGCGATTTAGTCATAAGGACTGTTAGACACTGGCCAAAAAACAAAACAAAACAACTTTCTCAGTGGTTTGGAAATACTATTCCCTTCCCCTTACTGCGTTCCAGAATATAGGAATTTTCTAGCAAAATACAAAGTACTTAAAGTGCATTCCTAAAATACAGTATAGGAGGTTTAGTGTAGTTTAGTTTTAAAATATTCAAGAAGCTCCAACACCAATGGCATGGTTTCCACAGGACCTAAAGATTTTTTTTCCCCTTCCCTTTACTGAAGAACATAAAAACCCAGAACTACAGCACAGTTTCACTCCCAAGTCTCTCCAAGAACTACCAAGTCGAGTTTACCACTAGCGCTTATGCTCAGCGGGTTGGCAGGCCCACCGCACGATGCCTAGTGGCTGGGTCCTGAGAGCTGTCTGACTCTAGGACCTCCCATGCACGTCGTAGGTAACCAAAAGTGGGTTTTTAAATCTCAAGAGAAGGCATCTTGGCACATCTTTCCCTTCTTGGTCTGTTTCAAAACAGAAATTTGTAAATTGTTGGGCTAGATCAAAAAAAAGCTTTAAAGTGAGCTGAAATCCACTCTCTTGATTTTTTTTTTTTTTTAATTAAAACTTGAATTGTCTTTCACTCCAATTTGAAGGAGTAGGGAAACTGCTATCTCAAACGAGGCTTCACTAACCGTTGAAAATCTCTGTAACGGCATACTTTGATATCAGACCTGAAAACAGTAATGCCCATTTGAACTCCACAGGACAAGAATCTATTTTGTCACAGATTATGAGGTGTTAAGACATACCGATGCTTAAAAATAGAATTTTGCTCTTTTGACAACCTGTTATTCATATACATCAAGCCGTCTGAAGCTGCTTGGAGTCCTTAGATATAAGGATAACATTTATGCAACGCTGCTGTACATTTCCAGCTCTGTAAAAAGTAAGCATCTGTCTCTTCCTGCTTTCAAAGGAAGAGTTCCTTAATCACGTTTCCGTGCAATACCTATATCCCCTTAGTTCATTTTCTGGCTTATCCAAAGCAAAGACTTAAACTAGTTTTGTTCTAGTTAAAAAAGAAAAAAAAAAGAGAGATAAAAACAAAAACGTTCTCAGTGCATCACATACCACCTGAATTGCTACCCCTCCTCTTCTCCTCAGACTGGTTCCACCTTTATTACAAACAGTGGTGGTGGCAGCAACAACTTAGTGCTTAAAATTAACCTAATTCATTCTTAATACAACTTGACATCTGCTCAGCTCCAGTTTGGGGAGCCCTCTTTCAGCACCAGCCGTCTTATTTGCACGTACACTTGAAGTGCATATCGTCCATTACAAAGAAACATCATCACTATATCAAGTCACACAATTTAAACAAGACGCAGCTAGAGAAAAGAAAATAATTTTCCATATTACGCTCTTGGGTCCCCAGGACGCTCCCTCACTCTGAGTTCCAGTTCTGAAACAAGCCTGAGGACCACAGGAGACAGGATGAGTATACAGTTCAGCTGGAGTACTATCTTGAAATATATAAAGATATGTCCTAGCAAGTGTCAGACTCCATCTCCCTGCCCCTTTTCCAATCATGCTTTTAGGAGCTGCCATTGTGCACTGCACTTTACTGCAGAAGCAAAAAAAACCATAAAGCTAAAAAAAAAATTGCTCAACTGCTGACAGTCCCACGCGCGCTTCTGGCCACAGAACTTCCAATGCATGGCATGACTCGGTGATGAATGATCTGAATGACAATAACCTTCCTGAGCTGGTGTCACAAAACGATTTTTTCCTGAACGTGCCTACTGTAACAATGGAACAAACCCCTTCTACTTCCACCCTGAGAGGCAGGAACCTTAGGATGAAACCCCTGTACGTTCCCCAGGATCACAGCTAGCCCTATCAGTGCCCAAGCTAAGTCAGAAAAGTATAGCACAGCAGTCTGAAACAGTTAAACCAAAAAATCCCAACCTCCCTGAAAATCTGAGAGAGATGAATTTACTTCTCAGAAGGGAACTCATTCTGCGTCCCTTTCTTGGGGCAAGGATCAAAGCTCTGCCCACAGGGAGAACTTGCATTGTAGGCCAAGAACTAACACATCACCTAACTGATCTCCAAAAAGCCAGTTATTACACCCCACTGACCAGGACTGGAGTCCACTTGATCTGTCCTCCAGGAAGAACCATCTCTGAGAGTTAAAAGTAATTAAGGGTTTTTAGTTGAGGAACATTGCAGCAAGGAGATAGGAGATGTTCAACAGTTATTCCAAGGAGAAGTGAAAGCTTTCTATTGGTGCCTGGAGAATACCGCAAGTGCTAGGTTTAGAAAGTATTTTCTAGGGAGAGGATGCTTTGCCAGGGACAGACTGGATGTCATCTGAATCTTACAGATAAGGGATGCATGCATAAAGCAAGCCTTTCAGAAAGATGCCAAATACATTGCTCAGAGCAGTCTTCCATAATCTGCCAGTTAAAATTGTAAATCTCTTCCAGGAGAGGGAAGTGAGAACTGCTGCTACAGCAACTCAGAAGCCAAACTAAAAGCAGAAAAGGGAATTATTGCCCCCATGCGGTCATCTCCTGAACACGCTCTAGGGAACAACAATGCTGGCTTTTTTCAGCTTAACGCCATTCACATCAAATATGAGGCTGAGCATCTCAAACTTCAGGGATTATACCAAATATTTAAGTGATGTCGTTTATTTTTCCTCACAGGAGCGCAAGTTCTGTCTGCTCAGCTGAGCTCTGAGGCAGAGGAGCGTACATGTTCTCAGGGAGCGGCAGAGCCAGGCACTGCTCATCTGCACCGCCACAGCAAGAGTTCAAAGGCAGATCTCTCCAGCCACACCCTCTTGATTTGTTTCCTTATCTTTTCTCAGGTCATGCCCTCACCTGCTCGACCCTGGAAACTCAAATACTTGCACCAGTCCAAAATCCAAGCTGCCCAGATAGGTTTATCCAATATCAGCTTTCAACAGGGTTTAAATCAGAGGCTGGATCCAGAAAGGCTGAGGAGCTATTGCAGTTCCTGGCTGGGTCATGTCTACAGAAGGAATAATCTTCCCCTGGCGTTACAACTGAGGGAACCAGTGATGACTGCCAAATCATAAACTGAATGAAAAATCTAGAGCATTTTAGACAGACAACACGGACAGTGGGACAGACACCGAAAGGTCAGTTGGAATGGGAAAACAATTATAACAAAAAATAAATAACTTTTTTTTTCTTTTTAGAGTCGTGCATAATCACTCAATTCCTTTTTTCTTTTTTTTTTTCTTTTTTTTTTCCTTTTTGTTTGGCCACATGCTACTAGTAGGGTTCTCAGCACAAGTTAAAAGAAAAAAGGTAGGGTTAGAATAGCTAGAAAATGTGCTGAAAGAGTTGGGAAGGTAGGGGACGTTAAGCCACAGGATTACATACAAGAGAAACTGTCAAGAATCACAAAGAGAAAATGAGAGGTAACACTTTATCTATCAGAAGGCGAGTTAGGGAAACAGATGAGAACGTTACATGGACTCAGTACTTCAGCTGGCCCGTGCGTCTTCGAGCCAGTTTTGACCTGTGCAAGAAAGAAGTAAAAAAAAAAAAAAAAAAAAGTATTTGTTGAATTCTGGAAATTTATTTTTCTTCCCTCCCCGCAGTTAGCCCACCTTCTGTTCTGCCCTTTTGTATAGTTCTAGATAATTGCCCATCTAGCTCACCCACCTTCTCAAATCCTTCAGAGCTAGATTAATTCTGTGACTATCTGCCTACTTGCTTATAACTATCTCTAGGCTCTGTAGCATATTTGTATGCTCAAGAACTGCCTCTTACCGTATCGTGCCAGCAAGAAGTGGGTTGAAGGCGTATAACCAGTCGTTCATGTCTTTGTCATTGATGGCCTGGAGCAGGACCCCACGGTGCTTTGTACATACACCAAAGGTGTTGGGTGTCTGAAATATCAAAGACAACTTAAAATAACCAAACATACAAGCACAGAAGCTGATACACATTCCCTCTCTCAAGAAGATGCATCACATTTGTAAAAAGCACAAGACCTACGGACTTACCTTTAAGTTCTATTGATCATTTCCAGGATATTATTAGTCAACCAAACAGGACATCTTCTATGAAATATAGTTTTAACTCATGAGCGTGGAACTGCTAAGATGAACCAGCTAAGTTCATTTGATTCTCTGAAGGATGTATATGTGTGGTTTTTAAAATAAACAAACCCAGGCTTCTGGTACCTACACAAGCTCATAAAAATAAATACGAGTTTCAAGCCTCTTGTAGAACTGTGTCCAAATCGGAAGAAACCCTGAACAAATTGGGAGCCTTGCAGGCAGCATCACCATGAAGTGAGGGGACATTTCTCTAAAACACAGATACGTTTTCCTTAGACCAGAGATGACAATAGACAGAACAGTCTAGTGCACTATCACTTGCGGTGCCATTCCTGTTCTACGCATAAACAAACAACTGCTCTTAGACTGACCTTTACCATTGCTTGCTGATCCTCGCTGTACTCCACCTGAGCCGTGGATAAGTTTATGACTCCTCGTTCCACAGGATCTTTATCACTGTTGTAAATAAAAACATATGGACGGCGGACCACCACAAAATGCTTGGCCCAAGAGCTGGAGAGTGGCTCTTTGAAGTGGAGGTATCCTTTCTTTGAGACTACAGAGCTGGAAAAAAATATAAATAGGAATATATTTTCCCTTAAGTAAGGTAACTACAGAGCGCTCCTATTAACTGCAAAACACTATACAAGACTAGGGCCTTCATATGTTCTGCCTACCACAGTATTATAAAAGAGTTCTTCTATAGAAAGCTGAATTTGGTCTTCAAGAACCGTGCAAAGTTCTGGCACAAAGAATAACTCACAAAGATCTGGATGCAGTGAACTTCAGCCATGGGTTTGATGACAGCAGACATTATATTTAAGTCATTGGAAATCTTGTTCATTAAGTGAATGCAGCGAATGAATGCTTCAGAGATCAAAGATCAACACAACTCTCATCAATCCTGCTGCCAGCTGTATCATTGACAACTGTATAGTTCTGCTCTCACCTGTTTATTTACCTTTCTTCAAATGGGACAAGGAAAATAGAAATCCCAGAAAACCCTTGTGACAGCACACAGGAAGGCACGATCACACTTCAACGGGAAATTTACCCTGGTCTGATTTCCTCAATATCAGGAACAAGGTTTAGGAATTCATTCTTTCCAGCTCTGGCAATATAGGAAGTTTCTACTGCAGGAATGAGCTGAAACTGTTCCAACTCTGGACAGGGACTGGAGGCACGAGAATTTGCTTCTGGGGTCCTTTAAAAAAAAAAAAAAAAAAAGTGGAGAGAGGAAAAATAAACGACACGAAAGCAACCGAATGTGACAATGGAATTTAAAGTGCACCTACAGCCTAGCCTGTCTTATAAGTTTCATCCTCTAGTCCAGATCTTTTGTATGATATAGGGAGCTTTCTGTGCAATATCAAACAGCATTTCCATAGAGATCTGTGGAATAAAACTTGAGGCTCTGTGGTAAGGAGATAAATATTAACTGCTAATAAGTGGTTTCCCACTACTACTCCCTTGTTTCCCTTGCCGAACATTGTCACAACACAGAGACATGTCATACTGTGGTTTGACATAAGATGTACTGCAGTGCTTCCTAATCAGTACTCTTCCTCTTAGAGAATGTTAAGCACAAAAGGTACAAATTACCTGTCATTTCAATCAGTAATTTTTCCTAATTTCATAAAAAATACCTTCTGTAGATACAGCTGAGGAAGATAAACAAAGGTAATTGGCCAAACTAGTCTATTCCCCACACCCCCCAAAAAAACCCAACTTTGTGGACTCTGCACACTGAAGACAAACTGGTCACTACAACACCGTGCATCTGACGGTTCTTTCACTGCAGGGAAAGTAAGCACCTCAAAAGGTGGGAAAAGGGAAAAAATGTGTGTGTGCAGAGTGATTGGAGAAGGAGCAATATACAGAAACATCTGAAAGTACAGAAAAGAGAGGGGGAAAAAAGAAATTCAAATAACATAGCAGAGACAGCTTTGTAAAGCTAAGAAATATTTTTCCTAGTCATATCCTATACTTACTTCTGATCAATTGAATTGCATCTTGAATCTACTAGAGAAGGACAGGTAGATGAAGGAGTGAGGGTAGCACTGCTGAAACTGGACACTGATGGGTCCCGCCCAATTGGAGAAATATCAGACAACTAAAAGGATAAAAACATGCAAAATATTATAGAGGAGTTTTCTGTAGCTGTTGTTCAGTCCTAGTTGGAACAGGGCACTCAAAGCAAGCATGCAGAAGGCTCAGATAATAGAAGAGTATTTCTGTCAGCCATTTCCCTATTCAGTAGTAAAATTTTTGCATAGAAACATTATATATAAATCCCTGTCTGGGGGTGAAAATAAAATAACACTTCCATAGACAGTTTGTTAATGTCCTCCACTTCTGATTATTTGCATCCTGACTTCCTCAATGGAATATTAGCTTATCTGGTTTGCAACAGAATGGCATCTGTGCCTGCAGTCAGAATTCCTAAAAGAGCTTTTTTTTTTTTTCCCCCTCTAAGCTTTTGCATGGATAAAGTGAATGCTAAGGTAATAAGGAGCACCTCCAGCCTGGTGATAAACTAGAAGCTATGCTACAGTCTGAGATCACACCATTTCCAATTCCTTCAATAGTCTTTGGAACCTGAAGCTGAATAGTCAAGTCCTTTCAACAGACTGAAATTAAAAAATATTAATACAAAGTGTTTTGCCTCCTAATAGCATTAAGAGATTACACATATTACAAATATATTACTATTGTATAGAGTTTAACCTTGTAACATTCCCAAAAGAAGTTGAAAGACAGAGTAGGTAAGGAAGGACAAACTGCAGCTGTTACATGTTTAGCTGCTGCTGTCACAAAAGAAAACAAAATCTTTACCTTACAATCACTGATGCTGTTGTACACCTGGTTAAATTCACGATTGAAAGTGTGAGTAAGAAGCTGCAGACACTGAGGAAAAAAACACATAGAAAACACAAGGAGTTTACATTTAAGTTTTCAGAAAAATTAGAACACGTGAGAGGCAATTTGCCATGACACACTTGGAAGCTCACTAGAGAATAAGCAGATTCTAAACTACCACTGAAAAGCCCAGCACTACAGAACTCAAGACTAACAAAGCTAACAAGGGATAGGTTTTATACAGACATAGAGAAAAAATTAGGCTAGAAGGGACCTCCGGAGGTCAACGAGTCCCACTTTCTGCTCAAAGCAAGGCTAATCAGATTGCATAGGACCTTACTGAGTTCTGAAAATCTCCAGGGATGGAGATCTCTCAGTCTTTCCCGGCAACCTCTCCCAATCTTTAACCTCCCTCACTGTGTCACTTTGTCCTTTCATTGTTCACTTCTCAGAAGAGGCTCATTGCCATTTTTACAACATGCTTACCTCCTCCCTTCCCACCAACCCCTTGCTTTCATAGAAGATGACTGCTATATGATCCCTCCTTGACCTTCTCGTTCCTTTTGGTTACAGAAATCCAGTTCCCCAGTTGCCCTCCGTCTCACCGCCTTTTACGCGTACGTTTCATCCCCTTTAATCATCTTGGTGGGCCTCCCCAGTTTAACATCCCTCTTGTACTGCAAGACCCAGAACTGGGTACAGTATTCCACATATGGCCTCATGAGAACAAAGAAGAGGGGAATAACCACTTCCCTTGAAAAAATTCAGAAGTTTCATTTACAGAAGAATGAACGAAAGAGAATGAGGTACAGCCATAACAGCACAAATCTAATCACCTGCACTGGTTTGTTAGAGGATGGAGGACTACAGCTACAGAGCATATTAAAATGAAACTCATGCAACTGTGAATATTTACCATGTTATCCGAGAAGCTCAGTATGTGCAAATAAAAGTAATGAACATGGGACAAACCAATTTCTAGGTTCTGCAAACCAAGAATGCTTGGACTAGAAAAAACCAAAGAACGCCACGCATCTCCTGGAAAGGACCAAGCTAAAACAAATTAGCTTATCAGTTCATTGTCCATTTTACCTACCTAATTATTGGTCCCCCGTAGGGGGACCAGCACAAGGACATCTTCCATAATAATGGAGTAGCTGTGGAGCAGTTCTTCCAATTAACAAACCCTAAAATTCTAGCTCATCGTTAGCCTGTAATCATCTTTGGTACCTCTATTCAGACCCATCCTGCTCTTCTCATAGGTCATACCTTGGTGGCCAGCTCTTTCTCCCGATCCACCAGGCTCTCTATATCAGCTGAGTCATAGCCACTGCTTTCACTAGGGGTGACAGCACTCTCAAAAGTGGTGGTAGAAATTTGGGAAGAAATGCTGGTGGAGGTGCTGAGGGTTCCACTGCTCAGACTGGGAGACAATGAGTCACTCAGGGACTTGGGGATGCTGTCACCAAGCTTTTCACGGAGCAGAAGGAAATGTCGAGTTTTTTCCACCTGAAAAGAAATCAACATCTGATCTGGGGACTTCCTTGTTTTCACAGACACTGGATTCTCATGCATTCTCCTTGGATTTATACAAGTGAGCATTTGTTGCCAGGAAATAAGAAGGGGCTTATGATGGCCCTAGAAGTTGAACCTACGTTTGTTGAATACAGTGAGATTCTGAGCTGAAGACTCTATCCAGTGGCCAGCCATTCTTATCTTCTCTGTTGGAGAATTTATTTAAATTTTGACTCTGAGAACAAACTCCCATTTGGAAACCTGTTCAGCTCAGAAAGTCGCACAGAGGACATACTAATAGTGAACTCAAAGGTACTGCTGTGTTTTTTCTTTCATTTCCTTCATCTCTTTACTTACCTCATGCAGCAGCTCCAATTTTTCCAGTTCCCACTGATGTTCTAGAATGAGGCTGTCACCACGGGGCCTCCAACCTGCCAGGTTCTCTTCTCCACGCACATATGCCACAGATGTATCTAGGACTTTCCTTCTTCTCCTCTGCATTCCTGAGCAGTCAAAAATAATATGATATGTTAAAAACATAGCCAGAGGGAAGACATCAAGAGAAGCTTATCAATTAGCAGCCTGCAAAGAACTAACACATCTGTTGTTCAGTTGGGAATAAACAAGGTAATTGTTTCATTAATGGCAATGCTTTGCATCTCCCAAAAGAAGTTTAATTTAGTTCTGCTTTCTTGCTTCAGTCAGGTATTTTCCATTTACCTCTATATAATGTAAACTCCTACTCTTTAGTCTAAATCAAAATAAAAGCATCAATTGCTAGCTCTTGGAGAAAAAATGCACTGATGATATGAGAACTATATTCCTTCCAAGCCATCAAGCTCACATTGGATATTAAGAAAATCTAAAACATGGTCCTCAGAAGACTCAGAGAAATATTATCGCATAACCAAATCCCAACTGCGTTAACTATGATGAGCAATGTATTACGCTCACAGAGTCTATGACCCAGGTACGTGCTCAGTTTCCCGACACACCCATGTCAGAAACCGCAAAGACGTTTTCAGTGAATCCCTGGTCCACCAATGGTAAGCACGGATAGAAGTCAAAAGTAAAAGCCTACATAATTTTTCATGGAATAGCAATGTTCCATTGCTCCTATGAAACACGGAAATTGCTTCCCATTGAGACAGAAGTATTTATTCACCGTCTGCTCACAAAGTTTTCTGCAATATTTCAGTTTACAGCATGTCAGATTTTAAATCTTGACCGCTTTAGTGTATGTTCACCCAGTCACTGCTTACCTGGACTTCCTGTGTCTGCCATTTTGCATAAACTTAGTTCATAGATCCCAGTTACTCGATTGCTGTTCACAAGAAACCAGAATAAAAGAGACTGTTACCTTCAGAAATAAAGTGCATTATTTTCTGTTATGTGATCCTCAAATTAGAAGTTTTAAGTATAATCGTTGGTCAGAAGTATGTGTCCATTCCAGTTTTCACATAAAATAACCAGAATTGATTGCAACACCTCTAGAAATGGCATTTCCTGCATGCTTCATTCTTCCCATTAGACTTGGAAAGATGCTGCTAAAGTAAATTCCAGGTTAGAACCAGGGTCCTCTATGTGCAGACTGGAAAAATGGATCTCTTGCAAATTGTTTAGACAGAAGGCTAGAAAAGGGGTTGTCAATTGATAAGCCATCGGTTTTCACTGAAATAAATGCAAGCAAGAACGTATGTTCAAAAACAGACTGGAAAACTGTTAAGTAGGGAGGCTTTCAAGGAAGAGATAAAGAAAACTAAGTTATGTTTTTCCCCCTCGCCTCTAAAGGGAAAAGCATATGCTGACGTGAAATATCTGATACCAAAAACACCGTTGTACTTACGAATCTGGAGATTTGGAGTAGCCACTGCCAAAGAGATTGCGTAGTGATCGAGGCGGTGAGATCTTGGCATCTCGCGAGTAAAAGACCATACAAACATCCTTTGTTATCACAGCAGGTTGGATGCAGTGGTCAAGCTAAGAGGGGGGAAAAAAAAAAAAAAAAGCAGTACTGAATGAGTGCCTGCAAACACCTGTGCCAGATTGTGCCAAATTGTAGAGCTTCCATCTTTTAGCGGGGTAAATTTTTGAAACCTGTCATTGTTTGAGTTTTTGATGTTTTCTTCTTCACACATGTCTGTGGAAGAGCATTGCTAAATTTCCTGATGTAGCTCGTGGGCCAAATAATCGTACTACAGAGGACGACAGCGTATTGCATACAAGGCCAAGAGGCACTACACCAGTGCTTACAGTATTAATAGTAATTCCTCAATCTCCACTCAACTACAAAGGATTTTCAGACACAACGGCAGAGAAAATGAGGTACAGAAAGGTAAGGAGATGCACCAGACTCACTGCACGTTTATCTCAAGACAGTAATACATAATAGTAACACTTCAGGATATTAACTGTGAATACAGTTTCCCATCCTCTTCTCAGAAAATGAACGAAGACTTAGAATACTCTTTTACTGGGTTCAGGATTTAAAAACACTTAGTCCAGTAGGTATTTATCTAGGGTACACATTGCCTGCTGTCTCAAATAGTTTCATCGGAGTCACAAGCACAAAAGAGGGCACAGCACTCTCACCTCCAGGTAAGCAGACAAGGTCATATATATCTTCTCTCCATATGGAGTCACTCGATTGAGGAGAAGAGAGTTATGCAAAGAGCTGTCCCAAACTGCTTCAAATCGATAAAAAGTCCTGGGGAAAAAAAGTACAACAAAAGCTCAGTAGTAAAAGCTCCTCTGAATCTCTCTCTTAAGTCAGTGCAAAGCATCTCTTCCCTGACATCATCCAATATGATTGTTAACCATAGTGATTTAGATAACAAATACTTGAAATGAAGACCCATCTCTTCTTTCCCCAATGAATTTTACAGATGCATCCAAGATTATTTACTTCTACCTCAACTAGTTTGGCATTAAAGATACCATTGCCTGTTTTGGGAAAGACTCATCTAAAAGAGAAAAGAGGCAATACAGAAGAGAACAACGCCTAACACAAAACCACAGCGAGGTCAGCACTAAAGGACAGTGTTCCTAATCAGATAGAATTCTTCTCTATTGCTTAACATGCAGTTCAACTGAGCTAGACCTCAAAGTGCCTGGGAAGACCGTTTTCCACATGCAACGCTTATTCTACATCACGTTCTGGCAATGACATACAGCTATACACATCTCCAATAAAGGTCTTAGATCAGAAATGAAATAGAAGAGAACTCTCTGCTACTGCACCATACAAAAACAGCAGCTTCTGAAAGCAAATCAGAATGATTGATAGATTAGGATAAGTCCTATATTCCAGTAATTAAGATTTCTTTCTATTTCCCTACTTGCCTGTTCAAATAAAAACTGCCAGATCTAACACATTTTTCTAAGAAGTTTCTTCAATTTGGTATGTGGAAAGAGAGAAGCTGAAGGATCCCACAATTCTATCCCAGCAATTAAGAAATCTGTTTATCTATTAATGTCAAAAGTGAGAGAGTGTAGGGGAAAAATAAATAAATAAATCATCAGGTCTAGAGTTACCATTATACCCTCTCTTCTCTAATGGGGCATTAGGAAGATGGACTTTCTTCTAAAGAAACCTACATGAAATTAGTCTCTACCAGTGAGAAAGGAGAAAGTTAAATACCCTTATTTTTCAGTTTTCTGCACTGGTTGCAGAAAAAGGAGGCTTTAATTCTTCATTACCTTCATGTGCTTTTCCCTTCCAAACCTCCTTGTGGTTTAGGTTTCCATCCCATTTTGAGTCCAAATGGTATGGTTCCAAGAGCAAGAAAGTGGTTCATGTATATTCTTTTTTAAATAAGTTATAACTCTAAGGAGCTTCTGCACTAATACCCAAGGCCAACTCAGAAAAGTAAGAAATTCAACCAAAGACAAATGACAAAATGGAGTGGGAGGAAGAAATCAACAAAAAAAAAAAAAAAAGAGGCATGAAACAGACTAAGAGCTGACATAGCAAAAACAGGAGTTCTGATCTCGGATAGTCTACGATTCCCCTTTTCCTGAAACCAGCTACACGGTTCAGAGTTAGGAAATGTATTGAGAAGCCATAAACTATGCAGTCAAGTGATATAATTCAAGAATATTACTAAATACTGCTTCCATTTGAAGTAACTTACTTCAAAAATTACTGCTAAATGCCTTGCTTCTATTAAAAACGCTACAGAGAAAAGTACTCTAAAGGCTAAGCAAGTGGAAACATGAAAAGCATTATAATGTAATAATCCTTACTTGAGCTAGATAGAAGATCAGGCAAACAACACAGGTTGTTTTCTAACCGTTTGCTGTTCTGTGTTGAGTTCCTATATTTTATTCTTTCATTGTACCTTAATTATGATGCAATTATAAAACGTTAGGCTGGCTCCAGAACTGCTATTCTTGTGGAAGAAACAGAAGTACAACCTGGCTCTCCACAGATGGAGAGCCTGCGTGCCTAGCCCCTGAATCAGCTCTACCGCGCTCTTCTCACGATGGAGACAGAACTCGGGGTAACTGTTCAACGGTGCAGAACTAAACTCCCCTCTTCAGCAAAGTGATGATTTTTGGACAAACACCAAATCAAAGTCAAACATAGCTTCAAAACAGTGACTCTACTGGATTTTGTCTAGGCAGAAGGATAAATATACACAGGCTTTCTGAACTTCCTAGCATAGTTACAGAGGGAGACAAAAAACAGAAATGAGCAAACCTCTTTCAGCACAGCAAGTGGCACAAGGAGGAAAACGGAGCACAGAACAAGGAAAGTGTGGAAAACAGGAGGAACAGGTTAAGGGCACCAATGTTTTTTTTTTAGAATTGATTTCTAAGTGGATTTTAGCGTTAGCGAGAGATGGTGAATCAAGAGCATTGAAGATTTAAGTCTTCTCTTTTTCAAACAGGCAGAACATAGAACAGAGATGCAAGCTGCCCCACATTGTGCAGCCGGCATGCTTTGGCTCTGATCTAGAGAAGCACCTGGAAGGTGAAAGAGGAATCCAGTCTGAGCAGCTACTAAATATCTCACTTCTCTGTCTGTCAAAGGGTAGACTCTGAAGTAGTTAGACTGTTAAATTTCTGATACAAATCCAACCTAAAAACGGAGGTTGAATAGCAGTCACATGGTAGCCACAGTTTTTTGTTCAGTGTAATTCTGAGGCAGAATTTTAAGCAACCTAATCGGTCCTTGTCTTGGCATGACAAACACAGCAAGCGTTCTGGAGTCAGAGGCAGCAAAAAATTCCAGATCTGATTCTCTGATATAGAGCAAAGGAATCAACTATGGAGCGCTACAAATAGGGCCTCTATTCTGATGGCACATTTTGAGGACAAAAAAGACTGAATGAGGGAAGTTGCCCATCATATGTGAAGGAAAACTTATCTTCCTGTGTTCCCCACTGAATTTTACCTGAATAAATCCCTGATGCACAAGGAAGGAGGAGATGTGCTACTTCTAGAGGAGCTAAGAGGTGTGTTGACAAAAGCCAGTAAAAGCTAAAAGGAAAACTGCAGCAATACAAATAGGACATAAAGCATTCTGTTTTCAAGAACCTTTATGTGCAAAGGAAGCAAACAGAAAATACCTAGGCATATCCTTATCAAGAAAGAGCCTGTAAAAACATAGAAAGAGCTTTAGTTAGTGCAGCCAAAAGCAGAACACAGACGCAACAGCTGAGAGCAGCGGAACAAGTGGACTGAAAACAACAGAACAACCAGAAAACAAGTCTGTAGACAATGAGCAAACATAAGACATGGCCCTGACTAGGGCTTCAGTCCCACTCCACCCTCTACCATGCACTCATCCCACAAATTACACCTTTGCACTCTGGTGAGAGATGGTCAACAAGTTCACTTCACTCTCCCCCATCCTTCCTCCAAGCAGCCTTCCTAGTGGTAAACTGCAGAGCTATTCAGCAATTTCTTGAAATTTTTAGGGAACAGAAGGTTTAGGACTTCCTAACTGCAAATCTAGCAGGGTCAGACTGCAAACCAGCAAAAGTCCCCAGAACATCCAGTTATACCAAGCCATCAATTCAAACATGCTAAAAGTAAAATATGCACTTCTCAGTGGAAGGCAAGGAATAACAGCTACAAACAGCATCACTGTGCTCATTTACAGACACTAGGTGGCAGGAGGCTAGTCAGTCAGTAGCACCACTGTCCTGAATCCACTTTTAATAGCGCAGCGGTATTTTGAAGGCCAAGATTCTAATGGAGAAGGCAGTTAGAAATCATTGCAGTGCCTAGAAAGATTCAACCATTGCAGAAGAGATGGGCTAACTCCCCCCGTCCCAATGACTCTTTCAGAGTTAAATTTCAGAGATATTCCTCCTTTTCACCAGCTAAATGAAGCCACAAAGCAGTCAAGTGACTTGGCTTATGTCAGAGGCTCTGCCAGCAACGCAGAATTCTGCTTCACCACCCTTTGTCGCAGACACTGAAGCAAAACACTGTGGAGTATGATTGATATCTTTATAGTGATGCACCCTAATGAGGGGACATATGCAGCCACAAATCTCAGAGAGGGGCCCTGCTGCTGCCCAAATAATTGCAAGTTACTTGGAACAGACACCTCCTTACCAGAACTGCAGGAAAGTTGTGATACATCTATATAAATCCTCCTGCCTTCCTTTACACATTGGCAACACTGAAAATTATGAAGTTCAACTTTCAAAGCACGACTATTGCTTTGATTATCATATGCTTGTTCCAGGAATAATAGAGCCACGTACATATCCATAAATACATCAACCCGAGGTCACTCTTCTACTCCAATGCTGTATTCTAGTGACAAGTCTTGACGTCAGTTTAAAAGTTTGGGGTTCAATTCTGGGACTCCCTCAAACTGTTCCTTTCCTTCCTCCTTTTATGGTGCTTACAAACGGAAAGTCACTCAAAGGCATTATCAAAAAATCCTCCAAGCAGAGCAGTGGACTTCAGCTTTAACAAGAAGTTATGTTAAAACTCGTTCCCTATCTGTATGCATTGTGCCCACAGAATTCTATATTTAATAATTAGTAACATCCCCTGCTTGCCAAATATCCTATCTGTATCTCAAGATATCAGAGGAAAATTAGGTTCCTAAGAGAAAGAGTGCTTACTTTATTCACTTACCTATTGGAGCTGTGAGAGGACCTCAGGTATTTTGCAGAGATAATATTCAAAGACAGAATAGCATCCACAGCAGCTTCATCTACCTCTGCTTTGTTTCTTATACGTCCTGAGAAGGGTAGAAGGGGAAACCAATTAAATCTAAACTTGAAACGCGGAAGGAATTTGTCTTCCAAATATCATTTCAGATTGTGGTTAGACACACAGCTATAAATGGAAATTACAAAACTTAAGTTTTTCCTCTGGACTCTTTCAAAACCTCTTCCCATAGCCAATGCTCAGAAGGATAACAGAATCAGTTGAAAAGAAAAATAACATTAGTACTTTTTCTTCCTTACACAGTAACACACAAATCAAATATACTCACCAACAACCAACTCTCGCACATCTTTCCAGTGTAACTCATTACCCTTCTCATGGATAATGGTGACCGTGATTCTGCGCTGGATTCCCTGGTACAGTTCAAAGAAGGAAATTTTACACTGGTGAAGTATTTCCCCAACACTAACTTCACCATTTTGCATTTATACTGTGACGGTGAAGCAACGACGATTGCTTCATGAAGACTAGCCCATAACTGAACAAGCTTCTGTATGTTACTGGGTCCTAAAATTAACCTAATAGAGGAATAGTCTGTCCGCGCATGTAACAAAAAACAAAAACAGACAGAAAAACCCACACTTTTTCCTCCTCACCCCACAAAGACAAGGGTTTTTCACTTCAAATAGTCCTGACATTGTCAGTATGCTCTCAAAGAAGATATGCATAGCCTCTGGAGTATACCAGAGTTGAGGATAACAATTTTAAGGAACTACTCAGATGATTTGTGCACCCAAGAAGTTTCATGAAATCCATTCTACCAAACTTGTAGCATACAAGTGTTTACTAATTGGAAAAACTCTTTATATATAACAAAATAAATTACTATAAAACATCAACCAATGATGCAGATATTACCCCTCTTATTCACATGCATCTATTCCAAGAAACTTGATTATCAGAATCTAATACAGAGGCTGTTCCTTTCATCACTTAATTCAAAGCATAATAAAGCCCTGTAATAGCTGGGAAGGAGGCCAAGTTGTAAAACAGAAATAAATACCACACACACAAAAAAACCCAAAAAATTACCCCCAGATCACAACACTCAGGTGTTGGTCTCAATAGAGTCCACTCTTCAAAGTGGAAAAGGCAATTTCCAGGGGAGAAGGGAACTCCCGGGAAAAGGTGCTTCCTGTGTAACTGTTTTGAAGGAAGTTAAAAGACTTTTGCCAGTCTTGTGGATTTCGTAATGGAATTACAGCAGCTAGAATCACTCTGTTTTGAATTTGAAGCAACTGATGAGAATGCTAACAAATCCAGAACTCAGTGCCATCCTCTTATTTTTGTGGGGAGGAAATAAATGGAGTATGATCATTCCTCATGAGCTATAAGAACTGTTCCTATCCCAAGAAAGGGAGGAAACGCAAGTCACAGGAGGAGTCTGTGAACAGGAACCGGGAAGTTGAGAGTAAAGAAAGAAGCCATAATATAAACCTATAAACAGTAGTTAGCTGGGATTATCTTTAGAATCTAGCTAAAGGCAAATTGTCATTACAGATTATTATATTAGCATTTGTAATTAATTACAGGCATTTAAAATGCACTGAGACACGGTCATTGTGCAGATCCAACTTCTAGCCACAAGCAGTGAGAATGAACCAAAGAAAGTTGAGTCTGCATTATCTTTCTGTCCTTGGTACAGAATCACATTCAAGGCATGAATCTGGTCCCAAGGGTTCCTGCTGTTTAAAAGGCTTTGATCTTCAGTGTGTGTGCAAACACGCAGCAAGAGTGGGATGCATAGATAAGCAAAGGAGACAGCAATACACTAGAGGCCAAAGGATATTCCCTACATAGCCCAAAGCTAACAGACTATAAGTACAGACTGAAAGACAACTGAACCTATAGCTATTGCTAGAGAGGCATGTGGGAAAGGAGAAGACATCAGAGGTGAAAATCCAGTCATTAGAACTCTAAGCCCCAAGAGACAAAATTTGTCATTCTTCTGCCTTCATTAGTACCTGGTGAAGCAGGAATATACCTGTGAGAGACATTGAAATCAGCAGCCAAGGTGAGATATTCTAACACAGCAGTATTACTCAGTTTTCTGCTGCCAACATTTACCTCTCCATACAATAGATGGAGAAATAAGAGTGTTTCTACCAACTCTCAGACTGGACTCTTTATTGGACTATGGTATCGGTGAAATATAGAAGTATCATATATTATATCATATATTCTTAAAAACCACAGAACTCACTTCTCAAGATAGCCCCTAAAGAATTGTCACAGGAAAACTGTAGCAAAGGTGACTCCAAAATAAGGCCTGCTAGAGTGACTTCTGAAGCATAAACTCTCTAATTACCCCAAGAATTTAAACATATTGTCTGAAGATAGCATAAATTTTCCCAACCCCTGCTCAGCTAGCATGCAGGGGCTCTCAAAATGAAGAGATTACTTCAAGTGTGAAAGAACACTTTCCGTCTTTCTTCAGTCCTTTCTAATGGAGGCAATAAACGCCAGCAGAGCTTACAAACTAGCCAGAGACCAGTCTGATAAGCCAGGCCACCATCAGTTGATGATTGCCCATCAACCTCATCTGAACAGAATAACAAGCAAAAGATCGATAAACCACTGTCCTTAAAACATGAAGGATTAACATTAGACTTACTCCCCCGTTGGCTCCAATTCGCTGATCTCAAACCAGACAAGGAGGTCATATTTGCTCACGCTGTGGCCCAAGTTCGGTTTGTTCATAGTATTTAGTTTTGTAGCTGGCACTTAAAAAAAAGAAAAAGAAATAGAATGGTTTACAAAGACTGAGCACAAGTAAAATTCCTCTAGGGCTCACAGAAACCTAAGTCATCTCAGTGATCCCACGTATGCTGTATCTGCTTATGCAGATCACAGGCTAAAGACAATTAGTTTCAAAATGCCAAGACCACCAATTAGATCAGATTTGCCGGTGAAATCTAGGAGTTTTACAGTAAACCATGAAGGGCTAATTAACTTTACAAATGGAGACGTAAACAAACCAATGGACTATTCAGCATCTATACGAAGAGAGAAACAAAAAAAAAGGTTTTCCTGCTATCTCACTCACCACTCAACATAAAAATTAGGCGATACTGAAAGGAAATCATTACATAAAACACTGAGGAGAAATATTTTGCACCATCTGTAGAGAGTGAAATGACCTTACTCTTATTAAGACATCTTGTTCCACAAAAATGAGGCTGCTTACAGCGCGATTCCTCCAAGTGTTGGCATGAAAAAGGGTTATTAGAGTTTAAAAAGTTAAATGAGTAATGAAGTAAAAGTTAACTGTGCCAAAAAAACACTTGTAAAAAATATGTAGTCTCTCTAGATCCATATAAAAACACTGTTTCCTCAGATGCCCACCAACTATTGTATGGCTTAATGGTTTGTGATTTTGAACCATTTAGGTCTGTTCGTCTTTCCAGAAAGCACACTCCTCACCTCCTAAAAGAAAAAAATCCCAAGAACTTAAAACTTTGGCACAGGAGATGACTATTTTGTTACATTAAGTGAAGACCAGTTTAGGTAAGAGAATGTGTGTGTAACATATTCTTTTCTGGGTAAAAGAATAGCTGCCTCAAAGGGACAGACTTTACAGGAATTAGTCATTTACAGCACTGCACCATCATACTCGATAACAAACATCAGTGCCATCATTCATTCTTTCCATTCATTAGCCCGAGTAATCACCCTCTTCTATCCATCATATTACTAAAGCAACACCTGCAGCGGTGCACACACTGTCCATGATCTCACAACAGCAGGACTCAGTGTGTTTGCTAGTATGGAGAACATCAAACACACAAGTCACTCAAGTTTACTGCTCAGCAGAGAAACTCAAAAGGGCTAGAAGAGAAAAACCACAGAAAGACATTTATTTAAACATGAAGGCCAGTTCTAGAAGCCCTCATGGACTTGTTCTGGCCCCATTCGTCCAGTGTGGTTCTTTTACAGGATACACCTGTGAGGGACAGCACTGTACATATCAAGTTAGATGGCAAAAAGGAAGATGAGCAAAAGGGAAATGTATATAGAACACAACAGAATGTTTCCTCTGTGCCTGGCTGTTTTTTCATATGTAGCACCTCTCAGGCTAATATCGCCAAACTATTTACAGAAGACAAGAAAATAGAGGTCCAGGAAGTTTGCGGCCACAGATCCAGTGTCACAGAAAATACGTGGTACCTAGCACACTGGAATTTAAAGGCTCCCCATATGGTTTTTTTCCCCCTAGAACAGCCCTGTAAAACTTAAATACAGCTTTATCCTTCAGTGACTGCACCCATGGCAGTTTCTAGTCCCAAGAACACTACAAGACAAAGATAAGGAAAAAGGAATTTTGAGGCACATTTTGGAACTACTTCTGCATCTACTACAGATTAAATTTGGCTACTAACCATCTCGTTTAGGAGCCCGCTCACTCTGACAGCTGGGAACAGGCAGAAAGAGAAAAGGTGGCAGCTGGTCAGCCCCATCCTGGAAAGCAGCCACAGCAGAGGACGCAAGCACGTTGGCATGCTCAGATAGTGTGTTCAGCACATGCACGTTTACATAGCCAGACATAAGATACCTAATCAACTCAATTTTTCTTTCATGGTCTGCAAAGGGAATGGAACACACACAAAAAAGGGGGATGGTAGAAACATGCAGGTGAGAGGAAGCAAGAGAAGGAGAAAATAAAAGGTGAAACGGGAAGAAAAAACACCAAAAGGGTTCAGCATGCATTATTGAAATTAAGTAAAGAAAATCAAGGATAATTTCAACAAGATTGGCTCAGTAAACAAGAACGAGAGAGAGCAAAAAGATGGAATGCTTAATGAATATGGCAATTTCCAGTCAAGTGCTCCGTAAGCACACAAAGAGTCATAGCCAGATCTCTTGGAATACAGTCAACACCTCACAAACAAAATTCTACCCTTTAACGTCCCAAGAAGCACTAGCTGCAAGAGGAGGTTGAACGGAACACACACAAAAAGATAGCTAGAGAAGATGTATCCAATGCCTTTTTGCAATGCTCACTCCATTTCATGTCTCAGTTTCCTATATAGCTTAGGAATACTCTGCAATCTTAATACTCAGTGACAAACAGATATATAAAGTATGATGTACAGAATTAGAGAATCTTTCTCACCTGGCTTTGAGAGTGGCATGGGGGGAGGAAAGAATCTTCGGGATGGCTGTGGAGGGCTGCAGAGAAATGAAAAGTTACCAATATGGAGGTAGCTAAACATAAAAATATACACACACCCACAGAATAGGTGCTCTCCACCTATTTCTGTGTCAAAAGAGAGCCTCACAATCCCATGAATACAGGTCAATATCACCTGTCAGGAAAAGAAGCACAGAGTATCAAATGTATTCAACTTTACATGGGAATTTATCCCAGGACTCAGAATACTTCTTGGACTAACCTAAATCCTTTTTCTATTCTAATTGAATTAATCCTAGCTATCAATGGAAAAAAAGAAAAAAAAAAGATTTATTTATAGTTTCAAATTGCTCTATCCCATTCTGCACTCTAAACTCAAGCGGGTAACAGGCAGGCCCACAAATTAGCCTAAGGAACAAGCCCCAGCTGACATACCCTTTTAAAACTAGCATATGCTTCCTCTTCACAGCTGCTGTCTTCAGTAAGAGGGCTAACCAGACCCAGTAATCCAGATAACAGACTCTTCCTTTAAGCCATGAATAGGTGGAGTAGGAGTCCTTTCCTTGATTCCAAATATTCAAACGCTCAGCTACCTTGGTGGCAGTACTTCCAGAAGATATTACACATTGAGAGCCTTTTCTTTTCTCCCAATTTCTTCTCTCTTTGCTTTGTCATCCTACCTCCATGCTAGCATCAGGCTGCTTGCCTTCAGAGAAGCATTGCTTCTTGCAGAGCATTAGGATTTACCCAGAACACACTAGGATCACCACTAAGGTCCTGTGTGCAATATTCTACCATCACAGTGTTTGTAGGGTGGATGCAGCTGTATTAGCAAAGCAGCTTTTCATGTTTAAGATGGTAAAACAATCCCATTATCCATTAACAAAACACACTATAGTGGGTAAATAGGCCTCTACCACCATGCTTACAGTACATGCTTACTCAGGAATTCTGCCCATGCGAATGTGGCTATATAATTTCAGGAGGATGAAAAAGTACTGCGTAAACTGCAGAGCTGATCTGAGCCTGATCAGAAACATCCTTTATGCCAGAACAATGAACACTACCTGTTGAGATCCTGTCCTTGCAGGTGGAGAGGGTGCTGCTGATAGTGCCCAAAAACTTCAAACACAATAGGCTTCGTTTTGATGTACTCCACAAATGATTCCGTCACTTCCACAGCAATCTATTAGGCAAAGTGAAGAAACAAAACGGGACATATGAAAATGAAATTTTAAAAACATGTCGTTCAGGAGTCTACATTTTCCACGCTGTCCAGAGCAACTCACAGTAGAAGCAATTGCATTCCTTTTTATTTTAGGCATTCATTCTGCTCTCTATTGAAGGAGAAAATGAAAGACTCAAGATCAGGCATTTAAACTAGGAGAAGAAGCTACCTGTAACAAAAAGATTTCACAGTTGATAAAGGTGGATATTTTCAGTTCACTTGAGACCCTCAGCACTGCTGTTCACATGTGTATTTTATTTTCTAAATGCTAGGCTGCTTTCATTGAACATCCTGAGAAGTGGAATGGAAACAAGGAATTCAAAAGCAGGAAGTAGAAGTAGAGGTAGAACAGAAGAGTCAAATCTTCCACACAGAACCATTCTGTATTTTGCTCTCTGCTGGGGATTACATCACCCATCTGACCACTCCTCCTATTGTCTATTCTTCATAATCCCTTCCCCCTTTCCTACACACCCCTCAAGAAGTTCACAGAAAGGATAAATACAACTCCCCAGTGATAAAACAGTCATTTACTATACTTCAGAAGTTTCACTTACATTCTGAACATGGTAAAACCCAAGGGGAGTCCCTCGGCCATTGTTTTTGAGAGGTTCAGTCGAGAAAGCTTCATCGTGTCGATGTAAAAAGCTTAAAAAAAAAATCAACAGGACAGTTCAGTGGAGATTGCCGTGCACCTGACAAATAAAATCCTTTTATTTATTTATTCAGCTGGCAGTTCTACACGGAGCTGAGTGACAGCCTCAACCTAGAAAGATCCTGTACTTGTTTCATACCTTTATTACCCTCAAATTTCCTTCTATTTCTTAAGAAGCTAAGCAGAATAATGCCGTCACTTGAGAGCTACCGATTTACCTAACGGTCACATAACTTTTATTCCAGCTGGGCATTATGCATAATCTAATACTGAATTTTCAATATTAAAAGTCTTTACAAACAAAAACTTAAGATAGCTACAACTACAGTCACTAGAAGGGTCCACTTTGACTCTTAATTCCTTTCTCCAAAACTTTATACCTAAATACCATGTTAACACAAAGCAGGTACTGTTCATAACAGGAATTCCAGTGACTGAAAAGGTGTTTTTACTCTGCCATGCTACACTATTATAATGATTTGGAAAGCTCTCAGTCAGATCCTCCATTTCTCACTATTATTTGCTCTTCCATTAAACCATTTACTGCCTAAGGAAAACAAGAACAAATTCTTACTTGAACTGGCAGAAAATATCTGCATATTCAGGGAGGATGCCGCTGGCTTGTAGCACTGTCACACGGAAGGTAAACACGCTACCCAATTTCAAGTGATCTCCAATTTCCTCAGTGAATCCTTCCATAGTCATCTTTCCATCTAGCAAAGTGGCTGACTTCAGGTCTTAAAGAGACACAAACAGCCCATATGAAATCACTGTGGTGTTTTTTTTATTTTCATTTTTTTATACTCCTCAGGCAACAGGTTAGCCCTATCACACATATCTATTCTTTTTGAGCCCACATTTTTTGATGATCAAAAACTCCAAGTGCCTGGGAACAGTCTTCCTGCGTAGTTCTTCAAATAAAGGAACTCCAGTATTCATCATATCCAACCCAGAGGTAACACCTTTCCCTGCATATTCTTGGACACCCAAATCCCTTTCTAAAATGGGCAGAGTATCCCAAATTCCCTTTAAATTTTCCAAAACTACTACATCCTCCTTACTTACCTAGGTCATTCATTCTGTTGATCTCCTCCGGAGGAGTGATGACCTCCGAATTCTGACCCTGCCCTTCCACAATTCTTAATTCTTCTAATGACAGTCCAGATCGAGTCATTGCAACTGAAGAAAAATCACTCTGAAAAATTAAGTGATGTTGCATGTGACAAACTCCTGCAGTTTCCAGTTTTCCTGTCTTCTTCCTCCCCCACGTTACTTATTCTTTATTTAGAAACACAAACTATTCCTCTCAAAGAAACTTAATTCAATTTTAAGATTTCTTACCTTATTAAAATATTCATTGTCAAATGAAATTTTAGCTGTGCCAGACTGTCGAATGCCAGATCCATAATCTGGGGCTTCTTCATCAGCTTAAAAAAAAAAAAAAAAAAAGTTTACAGGGAAGAGAGGAAAAAACCCTCAAACCTAAATGGAAATGTTGACTAGCACGGAGACCACTCCCTAAAATCAAGAGGGCCTAATTCCCATCATTCAATAGCAGATAGGAACAAGTCCTGGAAAAATCTTAGCAGAAAACCATCCACCATAAACCTTTTGGTGTGGAAAAAAAACAAGACAAGCTATGAATTTTCATCCTGAATATGCCTTAGGGAATTTCTGAGTGCAAAACAACTTCAGCATTCATTTTGATTATTTACTTGCTTCTAAATGTTACATCTGAGGTGAATTAATACACTATAATACAGTGACCCACATGGGAATGTATACTGACGCTGATTTAAACTGTCATCTAAAATTCTCTAGCCATAAACCAAGCAGCCAAACTAGCATAGCTCTACCAGTACATTCTGTAAGTTTGCAAGGCTCATCCATCCGTCTGTATGATCTGTCCATTCATCCTTTCCCTCTTTGTAGAGAGTACCAGTAAGGAGGCCAGCCATTCTCTCACAGAAAATTCATGCTTGCTGGAGAAATCCCAGGATTCAGAATGCCTTTTGAAATTTCTTAGAGGGACCAAATAAAGTCCCTATGGCCATTTTTTAAGAGATGCCCCCAGATCAATTTCTAACAGCCATAGTTTTTTCTTTCACATCATCCATTTAGTTGGATTTCAATGCCAAGGACAGCAAACTAGACTGGAAATAAAACTTTTGTATGCATTGAAAATAGATTTTATTTCATTTGCTGTGTTAGTCCCTGCCAGAGTGATTCTTACAGAGTCCTCAGAATCTGCGATTTCATTATACGTTCCCATGGAGAGTGAAACTTCCAGGGTTACCCTACCTAAACAGTAAAGAAATGTTGGCAGTTAGCCACTGGTAGAAAGAGTACACAAATTATGGGAAGTATCTGTGCTCTCACCAAAATGGATGAGACCACCAAGAATAAAATTCAACCAGCCCACTCCACAGTGGAAAAGTGGTCAATATTGTAATTTTTAACAATTTACAATATTGACCAAACTTCAGTGGTCAATATTGTAATTTTTAAAGCCTCTGATCGCTGTCATTATTTCAAGATTTATCCACGTTTGGTCCACATGCTTTACACCAATGAAAAAGACCTTCAAAAGTAACCTAATAAGGAAAAGCAAGTGTTCTGGGACTTTGCAACATTCAAATTATTCCTATTTGAGGGGAAGAGAGGATGTCTGAGAAGTTTTGTTGTTGTTGTTGTTGTTTTTAAAGCTGCAGCTATTCATGGCATACCAAAGAGCTGCAATGTAAAAGCCACTGGGTATCTCACCTGCTATAGCTTGCACTGCTACCCGCAGAAATCCTCGTACTTCTCCTTTCTCACTAACAACAGCAACTCTGTGAATAAGAGGCACTGGGTACAGTAGATTGCTCAGGTATACAAACGCTCTGGTAATAGGAAGGAAAGAAAACAAAAACAGCATTAGGCCATCATCTGCAAAACCAGACTGCGGTATTTGGTTGGCTAATGGGACACACAAGTCTTCAGGCTACTTTATTCCAGGTGGTAGACCTGCACTGTGCTCATGTCGCCCACACAGGGCTCTTCAGCAGTGTCAAGGCTGACTAAGGAAGACACAAAACACTCTAAACCAGGGTACATTGGAGACACAGGGCCTATATTAGTGAGTTATAAAGCATATGAAGACGACATTTAAGATGATGGCTTTATAAAAGATAATTTTAGATGCACTACAGTTCTAAACAGAGTTAACAAGATGGTAAACAAGATGGTAGAAGTTCTTTTAAGGTATTATTTAAGTTTTCCATCCTATCAGCATAGTTTGAAGTGACAATTTAAAAGGGCAATCATCTACTGTGTTCACACAGCCTCAACAATTTTACTGAACATATAAAAACACTCTTCAAAACAGATTTTTGACTGAATTTTCTCTCTTCCATATACGTTTGATAACACTAGACACGGAGTAATCAAAAATCCCCAATGAACCATAAGCCATCCTTTAGATTTCTTGGAAGATTCACTGAGCATATGGATAGAATTATGAAAATATTTAGCTATAAAGACTATTTTATTACATTTACTTGTTAAAAAAGCCCCACTGTTCTAGAATAATCATCGAGAAATTACTGTTTACAACAGGAAAAGCAGCATTTAAGGCCAGTGCTAGAAGATCCTGACATTTACTAACTTTTAAAATTGTATAAAGTTATATGTAGGGTCTATTTTGGGACAGAAAGTTAACAAGTTTTATTGTACACAGTTTTAAATTAGCCTAATAAATTAGCCCAATGTCATGAAGTTATTTTAAATTTCTGCAATGAGTTGTAAAAGTTCTTAAAATACCACGCTTCCGTGTGATTAGCTTGAACAGAGCTTTAAACGCGCAGAAGCCTAACAAGTCAGGTCAGGGATAGTTCTTGACAAGGGGAAAAAACAGAAGGCTTGATTTAAATGAGTTGTTTCAGAATTCAGAAGAATGCTGTGATGCACAGAATAGTTTTACCAGTCACTAAATTAAGAGCAACTAACCAATTAGGTATGTAATTTTTATGAATTTATGCAAATTAAATTCTACAGAAATACTGCTCTTTTATTTAACTGGATTTGCTCCTCACAATTCTTTTTATTGGTCTTTATTATTAAGAGTACTTAATTCCTCATTTATAGCTGTTATTATTAAACATTCGTAGGGTAAGTCCTGCATCACAAATCAGGACAGAGAGAGATAAAAGTTGTTCACTGCCTCTGTCTGGTGCTGTACAACTTGTATAGTGAACATGACAAGATTGATCTGGACTCAATTCCTTGCAACAAATAGCCAAGAACCAAAGTTAGAAAAAGTAAGTTCCTCCTTGGGTTCGCATGCCTGTTCCCACATGAATGAATTATTTTGAAATGAGAAGGTGATCAAAAAGGTGTCAACTGTGAACCAAAGAGATGAAAACAATTCTACTAAAAAACAAAGTGGTGACAAAAGGCAATAGAGAAGAGAATGATTAATAAAGCTATAAAAACAACAAAACAAAATATGAAAAAAAAACAAACAACAACAAAAAGCAACAGCAACTTAACACTGGTCTAAGATTAGGATCTAATTCCTTTTCAGTCTGCTCCAAAGTGAGGTAAACACTGGTAAATGAGGGTAAGGGAGAAGACGTTAAATTTAAAGTAATAAAATAGGAAGGGTGTTTTTGTTTGTCGGTTGGTTTTAATTTTCAGCTTTGAAATCTCAGGTGGTGTTCATTTGAAAAAGAACCCCACCAAGCCAAAAATCAGCCCCCTCCAGTAACAAACTGGAACCATTCACTTGGACTGGACCAGGGATGGAGCTCCAGAAGGTACGCAGTTATATGCTCATCAGGAAAAAAGCATGCAGTTCAAAAATCATGTTTTAGGCCAGGGAAAATAGACACTTTTCCTAGCAGAAAGGGATCTAAACAGCCTTGTATCAGTATGTATACAATAAAAGACAGTTTCACTAATACAGGCAGTCATTACAGAAGCCTTCCTCCTCCAAAGCCAAACTACTAGAAAGTAAAAACATTAACTACATGGAAAATGAAATAATATTTATATGCCCATTGCTGAAGTTCCCAAGACGCTATCCAACATATGACAGCAAAAAGCATTCAGCTTTATTAGCAATTGCAATTCAGTCACCTCCGTAAAATGACAATCCCCAAGAAAAATATTTCATATCTTCCCTTCAGTTCCTTCCACCCGGTTACCCAACTCACTGGAATCATTTTAACTTAGAGAAAGAAAAGCACATAACGCAAGAAGTCTTAAGCTTCCTGTTTGATGAAGAAAGTGTTGGATACCTTCTGTAGAATGCAGAGCAATAGCACACTTGCTGTACAGAGAAAAGAGCTGTTTTATGCAGCAATACTGCCTTCCGGTGCTGTTCCACCTGCTTCATCATAACACAGTACCAAGTTAGGAGTGGATGAAAGATTAAGGTTCTCCTCCTCCTCTTCCCCACACCGGGGAAGACTGTCCCAGTCCCCAAACACCCCATATGTAAGTGTTCCCCTGCACCTTAGCACAGCAGACTGAAAGAGGGGGAGCTGTATTAGCAGAAAGATTGGTGAGGTAAAATGGCATACTCACAACAAAACTAGAAATGAAATTTAACGAACAATTTTTTTTAATCAAAACAAAAACAACAGAACTCAGAATGATGACAAGTATTTTTTTAAATGAACACATCAATTCAGGATTAAAAAAAAAAAAAATCTCATGACCCTCTCCCACCTCCCTTAAAAATAGCAAATGCTTGATATGTCACACCATTAAATAGAATCAGACTTAAAGACATCCCCCAGCATGCCAGAAGAGATGGCTAAAGGGACCAGCTCTTTTTGTTTTTTTTCCTTAATTATAGTTCAAATAAAAGGCAGCCAAAGTACAGGAAAATAATACTGTGATGCCCAAGGAATTGGATAGCTACATGATCAATCTCTCCTCCTCTTCTCTTTCATGACCTGACCCATCACCGTTGATGACAGAGAAAGTTACCCTCTTTCTGTTCCATACATTCCACACCATATAAAGCAGTGCACAGTTGTTAAAGAAAATTAATTTTTTTGGTTTTATTATGAATTGAACACTACCTTGCGTTCCAGGCAAAATCTGTCTAGACAGACACAGTCTCTGAAAACTCTAAGTCACACTGTTCAAAAGTAGGATTCTCATGCTGGGAGATACCGAGTAATGACAATTGCTTGTACTTAGTGGTGGTAACGCACTAACAGCGGTCTGCTGCCAGAATCAGCACAAAAGAAAAACAGATTGAACTTCATCTACCAATAGGACAAAGTGATTCAGCTGTCGTTCAGAGAGAATACAAACTATACGCTCATCCATCAATACAACCTACAACCCAAGTAGAGTTCCTTAGTATGTGCCGTTTACATGGTTTCAGGCTAGTTTTACCGCTGCAACCTTGTAAGTCTATATATAGAGACAGAGCTCAGTTTTCTTTCCAATATATCGGTACAGGAAGCAAGTTATGTAATTGCTAGGAAGCACAACTGTTTTCTTTAAACACTGCATTTGCTCCAGTCATGCAGTACTTCCTGAAGAACTTGGGTAGCAGAACTGTGAAATGAAGATGAATAGTTCAGTTTTTTCCCCAGGTACTGAGGGCCCCACTCTGAAAGAACAGGCATAATAGCAAAAAACGCTGAGTATGCTGGCACCGTTACAAGAAAGCAGATCTAGCCATTACAGTTAGCGCACACATGCTACAGCTAGCTGACAACCACTACCAAGTCAGTTAAGATGGCTTCCCCACACTGACTTTTGTGGGTTAGATCAACCTGGAAGAACTAAAATTAAAAAAACACATTATCAGATATTGCACATAAGGGCACAAAAGCCTCATAGCTCAAAGAGGACTATTCCAGTTCCTTGTATCTTTAGTAACTATAATTTTTTTTTTTTTTTTTTTTTTTTAAAGACTGGATGAAGGAAGTTCCAAGGCCAATCACAACTTGTAAGTAGGTCCTCTGTAGACAACGAGTAAGGTTAGACAATACAGCTGAACGAATCTAACAGTTTTTTTTTCCTCCACTTTTTGAAAGGACAAACGGTCCCATTTCTACAAATAATACAATTAAGTTTCCTGCATTTGAGGAAACTGAAAATGACTCCACTTTCCTGATCATGAAGTCTTTCCTGCTTACAGTCTTGAAAAGAATAAGTCTAGCTCTGGTCCTTTGTTATTTGCTCCTCCCTTTCACCAGCCACAGAGTCTCACCCTCCTCTTCCACATGACACCTCTGGTGATTGCCTACCTTGCTGGTTTAACAGGTAGATTGGCTTACTGCATGATCATCCAAGAAAAAAGCATATTTGAGGAGAGGAAGCAGAACAGAGGGGAACTATATACATTATTTCAGTTTCTTGTCATGAGTTGCACGTTACTAGCTCTTTGTAAGACTGAAGAAACAGTGGGAAATACCACTTTTTTTAATGCAACTTGCTGTCCTTAGTATCTACACCACAGACTGAGGTCAGATAGCGCCTTAATCATATCTAGACTGGTAAAATAGGTAATACTCTTAAATATGTTACGCAAACTGGTTTCAAAAATCTGACCAAAATAGCATATGGGGCAAGCATTGATAAAATGAATTTTAATGATGATGATCTTTTGCTACATAATAAATGCTACTGAGAGTCATACATAATCTAAGG